AGTTGATGGATTGCTGCTTGAATAAGGTTGCCAAGCAATCTGTTGTTCAACGTAATTAGAAAGACTGAACATGCGAAACAACATCAAACTATTTTGTAATAATAAATAAATTCAAAATAATATTCAAAATTGCCATCGTTGACCAGTTACATGACAGCCATGTAACGTATGAGTGAAATTCACTGTCTTCAATGTTTTGGCATGCCGGAATCATAAGTTCGAGCTGATGACTAAACTGCTCTTGCGATTGTCAGAAATTTCCTTCTCTTCGAAAATTCCAGAACAACAATGATCATTTGCCATGTCGACTAGCTGCATATCTTGACCGGATTTCGGTAGGTGCATTGCTCTTGTACCTTTCTCAGTAACATGTTCATTTAGTGGTGGCATTCAAAAAGAAAGTGAAAATTTGTGACCGTTGGGGCGTCGAAATTTATGCACCCTTCTTTTCATGCAGTTTATGGTGTGATGCTGATAATTGTTTGCACGTCGTCAGTTAAGAGTACCTTATGACTTTTTTCTAAGATTGTATCTGCAACTAAATTTGATCACTGCTGCATATAAATTTTTGTTTCTGTTCTACAAAATGATAATTTTTTCTCTGCTGTATATGATGTAAAAAATGATTTGACTGTGATTCCAGTTCTCTAAAGACTGAGTAACCTCACTATAGTGATAAGTGATAGCATCCATTTACCAAGTAACTAAAGAAGTCGGAAGCGAAAAGTTGCGGAATTATGGAATATTTGAGTTAAATTATTCTGTCTCCTCATGGCTGTAAGAAAGAGTACTCGACAAGGCACCGACATTGCCCTCTCCAAAAGTCCTCTTTGGTTTTATGCTAGGTCGGTCAATCACAGAAGACATCATTGCACAAAGACCATGTTCGAAATATGCGAGAAACGAAGTAGGGCTACGCACATTGCCTTCTTAAACCGGGAGAGCGATTTTGATAGAATTGCAGATATGTTGTGAATATGTTACGTTAGAATATTATGAAGCATAAGAAAGAAGCCGGTGCAAGAATAGTTTAATAGACTTACCCAAGGCATATCAATGTAGTTCCAACGATAGTGAGAAGTGATGATCGACTGTTCCAGCTTCCGTTCAAACCAGATCATTAGAAACCCGGAAGGCGGCAGAAGGGCATATTCTTTCAGACTTTTATTCGTGCTTCTGTTCGTGTTTTTATTCATTTATCCTCCTCTCTTCTCCAGTTGTTTTGGATATCACTGTAACGCACCTGTGGTTATTGCATAGGTCGATGTTTTGCTTAAAATTTCTTGTTGTAATGAAAGATAAGAAAAGACTAGAATTTCTGTATCTTCTGCTGCCTCACAACGAGTTTCACTGTCGTTTTCGACGATCTTGTCATCGCTGCTGATCACCCTTTTTCTTGGAGTTTTCCTCATTAGCAGGTGCAGTTTTCGGGGACAATTGCAATCAACGGTTTATTATCTAGATGATATATGGAACGTTTTAGCCAAGTAACATTTGCATCTCGCCCTCGTCAGGACAAACAGCCTGGTACTTGTAAATTAAATATTTGTATTATTGGTATTTCATTTGGTCATGACAAGCGGTCGTCGAGCCTTCGGTATCGTATGGCATTTTAACATTGATTGTAGTCGAACTTTGTCGAAAAAGAACTAGCAATAATTTAGAACATACTGTTGCTTTGCACCCTTTTGACACTGTCCTTTGATCGACCTCTTGAAGACTGACATTCTGTCCATCGGAATTATCGTAGCATTATTGCAACAATGAATATTTGAAAGACTTAGATTTCTCGATTTCAGAAGCACGACACGACCAAGTCTAGAACTAACAAGCGCCATGATTTGGAAATGTTATCAGGATGAAACAGTGACTTGTTAGCAGAGCGTAAGGAAGAAAAGCTCAGAGTTAGACCATGCGTAAAATCGCTCTGTTATGTAAGGAGCCTTTGGAATCCATCTCTTGGAAGTTACTTATTGATAAATGATCGGGACTAGTTTTAAAAGTCGTCTTCTTCTGCGACTTCTGCGTTTTAGCTGATGGCGTTTCAAGTTGTGTTCAAGAGATGGGTGTTATTTTAGTGTTTTACCAACCTCAGGATGGCTTAACGAACGTCAGTGATGCATTTGGCTTTCGGTGCTCTTCGTACACTCACGCATTGCTTGTGTGAAGCGTTATGTTACTTGCGTAGTTTCAGTGGCCTGCTTCAAATGATAGCAGCTGCGCTTGAGGTTTCATCACAGTCGAGACTGATCGAAACCGATGATTGAATTACCAGTTTTATCCCTAGTTTTCCTCATCATACAGCACTGTCGTTTAGGCGACGGCATGAGAAGAGTCGCAACGACAGTCGAAGTTGTTTCACAAATGCGGTTTTCACTCATGCTTAGCTGGACTTGCCTTTGATGAATTCATCATCAGTGATCTGTGCCGCTTCGAATCAACTGCAGTATCTGACCTCTTCCCTTTCCAGTGCATTTTCACGTATATCTCTGAAATCGTCAATGGCATATGGACAATTCACTACATTTTAGGCTTAAGTTTATGGTTCTTGTATATCGTTCAAATATGTGTCAAATGAATAATGAGTCGTGGTCGATTGAGGCGGCGGATCTACTGTATTCGGTGATTTACTGGCGAAACAATTGGCCAGTTTGATCATAAAGAGTAAAATAAATGGACTCGATCACAGGGATCACTTGCCGCTGTTGAAGTAGCATTTTTTGAACTCGATGAAGTTGTGCTCATTTCTAGATTTAGATGAAAAAGGGGGTTATTTTCAGAGTTGTTTTCTCGTACAGAGAAATTTGCTAGTCAAAATCTTATTTATGTTGTGCATCGGTTGCAAAGTCTTCAGAAGCTGTCATCTTCGTGATGTTGTTCTATTTGTCCTTACCTTTTTATATACTTGTTGGAATAGGCAGTTCTGTAACACTCTTATTTGTTTAGTGAAGTTTAGATTAGGCTAGTTTGCGAAGTAAATCATCTGCAGCAAACCTTCGAGTGACGGCTTCACAGGCATCGGTGAACTTCCTCTCCTGTTTTGACTAGGATTTTCATTTTTATGTTTTAATGCGAATTCTCTAAATTATTTTTCCATTGCGAAGCGGAAATATGTTTGTTGTCATATTTATTTATTATTTATTGCTATTTTGGTATGTATGTATCCTTTTACTTAGTGTCATATCTTCTTTTTTTACTATAGGTTCAATTTTTTCCGACGGTTGGATTGAAGCCAATCGCAGTTACAGAGATACCCTCGAGCTGCAGCACTTCAACGGCATTGAAGGACTAATTCCTACAGGAAAGCACGAACCAGCCATTGGTCACGTCTTTCGGCCTTTCCAGCTACATCAGCTGACATGGTGTGACAAATGTGGCGAATTCATTTGGGGAGTTTACAAACAGGCGCTCCGATGTCAAAGTAGGCAGCATTAAAGCAGGTGTTTATAGGACATCTCTTGCATGATTAAATGTATTTATGTGCGTATGACATGCTCTGATTGGTGACCTTTTACAAGGAGAACATACGGGTGCGTATGCAGATTCCCATCCACACTTAAGACTCTGAGCTAATTTCTATTATTGTGATTTTTTACTTCATTTTCATTTAAGTGATTTCTATTCACCGGTTATAGAAACAAATCTCTCACCGTTCTTAAAGTCTTCTGACAGACCTTCTTACTTCTGCTGTTTTAGTCAAATAGCATTGGTTATTCAGGTTCTGAAACAAGAAGTGTTTGTCCTGAGTTGTCAAATGTTATTTGATTTAAACGTCGGCATTTGAAATCAGCATTAACATCTCTTTATCAGTTGTGCCTGTAATCGTTGTATCTACGTCGCTTTTACTTAAAAGCCAACTTTCAAGCGTTATGTCTTCTATATAATGAGGTAGTTTTCTAGAACTGATAACTGTGGGAGAGTCGATATCGATATGTCGATTAATACATTTGCATGAGATTAGTATGTGGCAAGATTATGCTACAGATATTCTTTGGAGAGAGCACAGGTTGGCACGCGTTCCATTCCATGAAGGATGTCCTCCTCGGCTATTCAGGAAAGAAACCCGCGCTCACCTCCGCAGTTCTGCTGTCCTGCCGACACTGTTGCATAGCTGTGAGGCGTGATTCTCACTGTCAACTCCTAGAGCACTAGCTACCTGTTACTGAGACGGCCATGAAAAGAAAAATGTTCGAAATTTCACTTTGCGACCGCATCCCCAACAGGGTGGTCACACAGCGGACGGAAATGAAGGTAGTCATCGTCGAAAGCAGGAAAGAAAGGCTACAGTGGGCCGGGCTCGTAGCTCGGTTCACCGTGAGAGATGCTCGGCGATGATCTTTGACTGTTACCCTGACACAGCGTCTACGATTGTGGTCGTCACCACAGGAGCCGGGAAGGCCGCGCTTGGAGGGAAAATGCTCCCAGCCACGAGGAATAGCAAGACTGTTGCCGCCGAAGCGATTCATCAACGAGTGCTGGCTGATTCAAGCGATTAGACATATAAACAATGAGAGGCAGTTGAGCTGCTGCTGAAAAGACTTAGCTCATTTTTGAGGTGTTTCGTCCCACAGTGCTGGGATTTCACCTTTGGCATAGTTTATGGGTCCTGTAAGGTAGCCGTTACTGTTTCTTGTTGTGTTTTACTTGCCAAACGGTGTCACATCACGAAACTGCTATCAATGGTACAAGCGAAACAATGATGCATTGTTAGATTACGATGTTAATGACTCTGATAATATGCTGCTAGACGTGCGTTTGGATTCTGCAGGAACTACGTCTTAAGCTCATTCTTCTGTAGTTTACGATGATTACCCTTGGCAAGCCATGTCAAGCAGAATAATTTCTTTGAAGATGATAGTAGCGCTACAGCGTGCTTAGAGAATTTCATCGAAGAGCCACGTGGCATCAGTCGATCTATTTTTTAAGGAAAATTTGACCGGATCCACAACCGTTACATGACACGATTTAAACCTTCATAATGTTATCACATGTGTGGAGATGCTTAAAAACAGTCTCAGCCGGGAATTCAAATTTTACATGACAAATAATAGAAGATTGAGATGAATTGTAATATCTTAAATATGCAGTTCTTGTCTACAAACAATTATGCCTCTTGGAAGCGATCTGGGTTCCTTAATGCACGTAGGTGTAATGCCATTTTGTACGACTCGTTTCACTCCTGTCCTCTACCCTCATGGGGTTGCGTCGAATTCCATGGTGCATATGGCAGCTTCAGCCGATTTTGAAGTCCTGTTAGTTATCTGTTGATTCTTAAATGGTACTCAAGCGTCGCCATGCAGTCTCAATGCTGATGAAGGTTTCTCCTGTAAATCGATTTTGCTTTTACCAGTAACACCGGCAACAGACTCTCAGTCCTTCCTCCACCACTGCCAGCTTTTAACTTGCCTCGGTTTTGCGTGTTCGTTACTTTTGCATTCAGGTCGACGAATTGAAGCGTATTTGTGTTTTTCAGTCTGCCGATACACGTGCCATTACAAATGCCGTTCGCTTGTCACGTTGGACTGCGCATATGCTTCTGAGACGACCTCGTCTTCCATTCCTACTGAAATTACTTATCTCCATCCGTCTGACTGCAGCGACGCAAATGGCTTTGCAGGATCTTCGCAAAACGTTAGCCTTTTAACTGTCATATAAATCATATTATTTATTTTAAAAAATTTTCTTTTTAAATTTACCGTTTACGTGCGTTAACTATTAGCCAGTTGTTACGTTGGTAAAAACGAATTGTAACTGTAAAGCATGCTCATGAACGC